AAAGCAATAAAGAAGAAGAATAAGGTTGGGGAAAGAATCTGGTTGGTAGGAGAATTTTGGAGGGATAAGGAAGGGGAAAAGTATAAGGTTGGTAGGAGTTCTTGATATAGTCTTATTTGGTTGTGGTACACTTGCACCCCTATTACATTCTATTTGTGTCTATCTTCTGATATTGGTCCTGCATATCTTTCTGCCATACTTCTTTCATTGCTTCCCTTTTTTTTTTTTTTTTTTTTTTTTTTTTCTTTCAAATCTTCCTTAGTTTCTTTGCTTGTATTGTCCTTTTTCTTTGCTTCTTGCTCTCAATTTTATTACCTACCTCGCGATACACCTTGCAATTTTGCATTTTCTCTTTTTAGATAGATTAACAGGATTAATCAACTGTCAGAGATTACTGATTGATTCAGTTACGAAGTCAGTCAGTAATAATAAATCATGGAGAAGATGTAAGAGAAAGATAACAGCACAAACCCAACGACACAGAATATTTACCCAGTTCGATACAGTGTGTATCTACGTCTGGGGGACGATCACATAGGCGTCCAATCCACTAAATCATAATCTAATGTACAAAGGTAGATATACAATAATCTTACCCAAGTGCCCCACACAAGGTACATACCCAGTCTACACAGGTTTAGTGGATTGTTGAAGATGGAGAGCCATGCATACAGAAGTCCAATGAAATCCCTTCACTTGGAGAGCCCACTCTGATGCAGTCCACTTCAATGACGCTCTTTACAGTTGTTCCCACAACAGTGTGATCACAGTGTCCTTTCGTTTAAGAAGCAGTGATTCTTCTCAAGTTCATCATCTTAATCACCATGAACATATTGTATTGAGAAGATGCATGACAATCAAAGATCTAGTCTCATATAGCAGATAGGGAGTGTTTCTTCTTACTTTCGGCGTAACCCTAATTCTCTTCGAATAAGAGTACTTATAGATTCTTCAATAAACACTCTCCATAGATCACTTTGATTGTAGAAGGTAGGACTATAAAAGATGAATGTAATCTCAGAAGATTAGATCCATACCTTTCTTGAAAATATACGCTGATCTTCTTTCCAAACTTGTCTGATAAAACCGCGTACAGTCTTTTAGAAATCAGCTTCCTAAATCAGATCTTCAGTGTTAGTCCTTCTGTTGTTGCTTCTGATTGATCAGTCATCTGTAGAGCTAGACGGACAAACTCTAAACCTATCTTAGTATGCCATAATAATATTGCCAATTATAATATGGGGTTTTTGAACATTTAAAAACACTAACAAACTCCCCCTTTGGCTATTATTTGGCAAAATAACTCGACTATATAGATAGACAAAACATAAAGAACTAAGATAGGTTATTATAAAGAAGCAACCCATGAGTCTGATCTGATTACATAGAACTAAAACAAAACATAAGATCCAAAACAGTTTATGATCGAAAACAAGTAGTGGTGCCATCAAACACAACGCCCAGCCAGGGCCAGAAGGTACACAAACACAAAAACTCCCCCTGAGTTCATACTACTCCCCCTTTTTGCCAATGATAGCCAAAGGTCAAGCATTGGAGGGAGTGTCACTGTCAGACTTCGCAGGATCAGCAGCAGCAGCAGATTCAGATAGGCTTAAACGAAGAAGAACGGTTGCCAGCTCAGTACGGGCCCCTGTTAGTTGCTTTGCAATAATGCTGTGTACTGTCTCAAGATCAGCGACCCTTGCCTTCAACTGTATGGAAAGTTGAACATCCTTAGCATGGGGAGAGTCATCAGGCACAGCGTCAGTTTCAGAATTGGATGGGACAGTCACCGGAACAACATCCCGAATGTGATCTCCAGTCAGCAGATGTTTATCAACAGTATAGAGCAGCGTTGGACTGATCACTTCACTGGGCATAGGCTCAAGACCCTGAGTTGTAAGAATGCCATAAATCAGATTTGGAAAGGGTAGTCTTACCTTCTGCCCCCGTGGATGAATCAAGGTAAGGATGTGATGGTAAATCCATTTTCTCAGATCAATTGGCATCTTCGTTCCAATTCGAAATAAGAAGCCTGCCAGAAGCTTGCCAACCGTGTGGAAATGGGCTGATGGGAGCCAGTTGTGAAGGGCTAGGCGATGTAAAATCACATATCTGGATGTGAGTCGCGAGCTCTGCAGATAGTCCTTGTCACCTATATGCCAAGATTCTGTCTGTCCACCGGTAAGAGTTTTGGCCACCAAGTTCCAGTCAGTGACAGCCTCTTCTTGCACAACAGTCAAACCATAGTACTCATTGATCATGTCCAGCCCAAAAACGTACCACCTTCCTCTGATGATGATCTGCATCGGTCGAGGTCCGGTTAAGATGTCAATCTCGTCATTGAGATTGCAATAGAATTCATACGTGAGAAGCTTAGAATATGGGTAGATGTCCGTGACAGTCTTCAGCAATCCGACTTCATTCAGCAGAGGTAGAATGTCACATACAGAGTTCAGCTGGTTCTCATCCAAAAATCGTTGAACAATAAGGTCCCTTCTGACCATAGTAGACCATTTGGCCTGAGCAGCAGGAGATACAAACTGAGGCCTGTAAACAGATGGGTCAGTTTCTTCAACAGGTTGAACCTCAGGAGTAATGCTTCGACCTCTTGATCGTGTGGATGGCTTCCCTTTTCTGGCAGATGGTGCAAGTACAGAAGTAGCTTGAACAGCAGTAGGGCCCTTTTGCTTAACAGACGATCTCAGTGTCTTGAACACTTGTTGAATAGGCGGATTTCCTTCAGACTTGACAGCCTCACTCGACTTCCTTCTCTTCTCAGGCTGATCCACATCAGCACTGTCATCACCGGTCTCAACAACAACCTTTACTGGAACATTCTTCCTTTTAGACCGCCTTGTTTCTTTGGTTGGGGATTGAACAGGAGTCACAGAGTGACTAGAATCAGAGACATTGGCAGAAGAGTTCCCAATAAGATTCGAAATCTCTCGAATTTTGAAGGTCGTAGAGTCAGGATGAGCAGTGGCCTCAACAGTTGGAATATCATATGGAAGTGCTTGAGATCCATACACTTCAGCCAAAATTTTATCATCTTCGCTGGAGGATTCAGATGGATGAATCACTTGATACGGTTGAGGAATTGAAGCAGATGGTAAGCCAGCAAAGTGTCGCACCTGTTCCAGACTTTCACCTAATGATGTGGCAGTGTAGACTGGGATTCCACCAGTTTTCTCAGACTTATGGGGGCTTGATAGATCAACAGTTTCAACATTAGCAGGTAAGACAGAAGTGTCATCGGCCGAGCAAATTTCTTTAGGGTCATCAGCAATCTCAGCAGGAGGCAGAGCAATATTATCAGAAGAGTAAACAACTAAACTCAGTTTATTTAGCTCATCAGAGGATTTTTGTTTTAAATCAGACACATGCAAGATATCATTTTTCTCATCAACAGACTCACTCAACGGCAGGGATGAAGGATCAACATTCACAGGGGGGTTCTCAGAGTTCAAAGCAGTTAAATTTTCAGAATTAACAGGCACACAAGATGGGGTAGCAGAATCATCAGGTTTATCTGGAGAAATTTCAATAGGAGTTTCATAATTGTTTGACCTGTTTCGGAGGATCTCCTATCTGTGTTTTGCCTCTTTCTAAGCAGCTTCGAGATACAAAGGCTATGACTCCGCTCGCCGTAGAGAGACCTCAACAGATTCTAGGGCTCGTTGCGCAAAGTATCGAAGGAATGCCCCGACCCGATTTCCATCCGAGAGTTCTGGAATCGATACTGGAGAAACTTCATCACTGGCTTCGGAAACCATCATTAGTAGTTCAGTGGCATCATCTTCAGACCATTCTGCATAAAACTCTGGATAGTTTGACATAACAGTCACCAAAATCTCGTCGCGAAGCAGAGGATCAAGCTTGAGTTTTTTTTTCATAGCAAACTGAAATAGCGTCTTAATATGCTTAAGAGCCACCTCCGGAGAATGTGTCTTGCTTCCGAGTTTGATGATGATATTTCTTACAGGGTCCGCCATTGAAGAAATTTTTCGTGAGAGGAGAAGAACTAATCACGGAAGACAGGTATGCTGAGAGAGAGAGAAGGTTTGAGTGCTTAGATGCTTGAAGATATTTTTTTTTTCTTCTTGGCCCGGTATCAAATAGACTTAAGGGTGATGAACCCTAATCAATGTGGCTTGTCAAATATCATGCAGACACGATTGATTGACACAACGGTACGGCTTCTTTTTATGAAGGAAACGGAACCCAAGGAAATTTGAATTTCGAAAGAAGATTAAGATCTTTTAAGATATCTTTAAGATACAAAAGGTTAAATAATCCACTTAACAAAAATAGAGAGGAGTCTTTAAAGAAAGTCAAACCATAATACTGACCCGTATAAACCAACATTTTTTGCTGCTCTCTGACTGACCAACTGCTTTAATTAGTCAATTCTGCAAATTCCGAGAGCAGACCTGAGAATTTCAAAATGATTAGCGTCCAGTGGCTTAGTCAGAATATCCGCCAGTTGTTTGTCAGTTTGAATGTATTCCAATTCAATTTCCTTTGATTCAACCAGGTCTCTGATGTAATGATGCCTGATGTCAATATGCTTCGTTCTGGAATGTAGAACTGGATTCTTGGAGATATTAATAGCACTGACATTGTCACAATAGAGTGTCATTATCCCTTGAGTAAGACCATAATCCAGAAACATCTGTTTCATCCATACCAACTGAGTACAACATCCACCTACAGCTATGTATTCTGCCTCTGCGGTGCTTAGTGAGATTGAATTCTGTCTCTTGCTTAGCCATGATACTAAGTTCTTACCAACAAAGAAACATCCTCCAGAAGTACTCTTTTAATCATCAATATTTCCTGCCCAATCAACATCATAGTATGCAACAAGACTCAGTTCACTGTCCTTGGAGTACCAGAGGCCATACTGCATCGTTCCTTTAACATATTTCAGAATGCGTTTTGCAGCTATCAGGTGTGATTCCTTTGGGTCAGATTGATACCTTGCACAGATTCCAACACTGAACATTATGTCTGGTCGACTGGCAGTTAGATACAACAGACTACCTATCAAGCTGCGATAGACTGTGTTATCCACTGATACGCCAGTTTCATCTTTCGATGCTTTTGTGGAGGTGGAGATTGGTGTCCTGGATGATTTACATGATTCTAGATCAAACTTTTTAACTAGATTCTTAGCATACTTCTCTTGTGAAATAAAGTATCCTTCAGGACTTTGCTTGACCTGTACACCTAGGAAGTATGTCAGTTGACCAACCATGGACATTTCAAATTCTTCCTTCATCACTTTTACTAACTTGTCAGTGTATTTCTGTAAGGTTGATCCAAACACAATGTCATCAACATAGATTTGGGCTATGGTTACATGACTTCCAGTAGTTTTTACAAACAAGGTTTTGTCAACACTTCTTCGTTTATACCCATGCTGGAGCAGATACTGTGTCAGTCGTTCATACCATGCCCGTGGGGCTTGTTTGAGACCGTAGAGAGCTTTTCGAAGCTTATAGACATATGATGGATGATCTGGATCTTCGAAACCTTTAGGTTGAGCCACATAGATATCTTCGTGGAGATAGCCATTCAGGAATGCTGTCTTGACATCCATCTGAAACAATGTGAATCCCAAAATACGTGCGATAGCCAACAAAATCCTGATTGACTCGAGTCTAGCTACAGGAGCAAAAGTCTCATCATAGTCAATCCCTTCAATCTGAGTATAACCTTGAGCCACTAACCGAGCTTTGTTCCTTGCTATATTCCCAGCTTCATCAGTTTTATTTTTAAAGATCCACTTAGTTCCAATTACGTTGACACCATCAGGTCTTGAAACTAGATCCCAGACATGATTTCGCTCAAACTGATGTAGCTCCTCCTGCATTGCCTTGATCCACAGATCATCCTGTAAAGCTTCTTTAACATTCCTGGGTTCTATCTTTGACGTATAGCATGCAGACCCAGATACTTCTGTCAGATTATTTCTTATTCTGCTCCTGGTCTTCATCCCATCTGATGGATCTCCAATAATGTTATCTGATGGATGGTTTTTCTGAGTTCTGGTGGGTTTGTCTTTACCTGTATCATTTATGAGGTTTGTCTCCTGTTCCAAACTTTCTAGATCTTCATCTGACGATTCTTGTGGTTTGGGCTGACTGTTGCTATTAGTGGCAGTTGGGTCACTGAGAGGAAGCTCTGTCATTGAATCTGTCACTGTTGTGTCTACTGATTCTTCTGGACTGTCATCTATAACCACATTTACTGATTCCATCACAGATTGAGTCCTCTTGTTGTAGACTCTGTAGGCACGACTGTTTGGAGAGTATCCAAGGAAGATGCTCTCATCACTCTTTGGTTCGAACTTCCCTCTTTGTTCTCTATCAGCCAGCACATAACACTTTGTCCCAAACACATGAAAATACTTCAGATTTGGCTTCTTTCCCTTCTAGATCTCATATGGTGTTTTGGTTGTTCCTGGTCTAAGATAGACCCTATTTATAGTATGACAGGCTGTGTGTACTGCTTCAGCCCAGAAGCGCTGCGGCAGATGCGAGGCATGTAGCATAACTCTAGCCATTTCTTGTAAAGTTCGATTCTTTCTTTCCACTACTCCATTCTGTTGAGCAGTTCTAGGGGCTGAGAACTCATGTGATATACCGTGCTCGGAGCAGAAATCTGAATATAGTGAGTTCTCAAATTCCTTTCCATGATCACTCCTCAATCTCTGAACTTTTATTATAGACTCATTCTTGTCCTTCTGAACCCTTATACAAAGAGTTTTAAAGGCCTTGAAAGCTTCTGTCTTTTCTCTCAGAAAGTATACCCAGCTGTATCGAGAGAAATCATCTACACACACAAATATGTATTTCTTTCCCCCAATGCTTTCAGTCTTTGTTGGCCCCATGTGGTCTATGTGGACAAGATCTAGGCACTTCTCAGTGGTGATGCCTGTTACTGCTTTGTGTGGAGTTCTGATTTGTTTCCCAATAGCACATGCGCCACAGATTTTTTCTGGATCTATTCTGATCTTAGGTACACCTTTCACAGCTTCCAGTTTTATCAGCTTATCCATATCTCTGAAGTTTACGTGACCCAGTCGTCTATGCCAGAGTTTTGATTCATCAGATTTGGATAGGTGACAAGCAGTTTCATTTGTCAAAACATAACAATTGTCTGAGGACCGAGTTCCTTCCATGACTAGTTGATTTGCTTTGTCACTAACTCTGCAGCAGTTATGATCGAAGCACACATTCCAATTTTGATCACACAACTGACTGATGCTAATTAGATTCGCTTTCAACCCAGTGACTAGTAGGACTTCTTCTAATTGAGGTAAACCTGGTACATTCAGGATACCTTTCCCAACTATTTTCCCTTTTTGTCCATCTCCATATGTTACAGCTCCACTGCTAGGTTGAACAGCCATCAGACACTTAACATTTCCTGTCATATGTCTGGAACACCCACTTTCGAAATACCATCTAGCGTTAGTTGTAGATGCAGTCAGAACGATGGTGGGGTAGCAGATAACTTCTGACTTCCTGACCCAAACCTGTCTAGTGAATGGTGTAATAGTCTTATTCTGATATTTTTCCTTCCTTTGATCTTTGTAGAAAAAATAACACTCAGGCCGAGTATGACCTTTTGTTTGACAGTAGTGACAAATAGGGGTGTAATATTTAACTTTGACAATCTTATTTTTGAACCTTGAATAATGAGATTGATGAGTTAATTTGGCCAGGCCAGTATCAGCAGTCTGGTCGTACCTCCTTCCCTTGTTCTGCACTGACTGAGATGACTGTCCTTGTTCATAGCTGTGAACAGCTGTGGTCTTAGATATACCCTCTTTGATGAACATAGGTGCGTTATTCAAAGATTCACCTCGTTCAAATCCCAGACCCTTTTTATCATTAGGATTTCTGCCAGAGTCTAGAATCTTATCTAAGGTTGATGTGGTGTCCATCATCTGGATATTTTTCTTCAGACTCTCCAATTCCTTGATCAGTTTTCCTTCTCTGGATCTTATCTGAGTGATGAGATCTTCTTTTATGACAAGATCTGTATTCAGTTTCTTTAGAAGATCATCTCTTTGCTTCAGCTCGTCATTCAGATTTTTATTTACTTTCACAAGTTGTTCCCAGCTAGCAACAAGTTTCGCAAATTCTGTTTCAAGTTGAGTATGTCTCTCTTAAAAATCATCAGTTGATATGTACGATTCTTCATCTGATTGGTCTCCGTCTGACTGAAGGTCTGTAGCAGTAAAGAAGGCTACAAAGTTCCCCACATTATCATCTGACTGATCATTTGAAGTTTCCTCCTCATCATCGCTTAAAGTAGCTACAGACATAGCCTTTTTCCTCTTGAGATACGTTGCACATTCAGCCTGTATGTGTCCATATCCTTCACATTCCCTACACTGCACTGACCGGTTGAGGGATTTACCTGTGTCTGTGGAACTGTTTCTGTTTTGTCTTGTTCGACCAGTCTGAGATTGATTGTTCTGTGAGAAAGGTGCTGTTTCAGCCTTTTGATATGAGGAGTTGTTGCCTTTGTATTGTGTCCTGGTAGACTGACCTTGACCCTTTCTGTTGAAACCTTTTAAGATTTTCTTGAAATTCTTGGTTAGAAGAGCCAAGGTTTCATCATCTATGTCGTCTATGTCAGATTCTCGATCAGCCTCAGCCACAAAGGCCACTGACTTTCCTTTTCTGTTGCTTCCAAGATCATCATTAGCAAGAACTTCTAGTTCATATGTGTGTAAGTTTCCTATAAGTTCTCCGACAGTCTTCTTTTCCCAACCTGTGAGTTCCTGAATAGCAGTTACTTTCATTCGAAAGCGTTTAGGTAAAGATCGAAGGATCTTTTTGACCACTCTCTCATCAGTGAATGGTTCACCAAGAATAGAGGCTCGGTTCATAAGATTCTGAACCCTATTGTGGAAGGTCGGAATGGTTTCTTCTTCATTCATTCTGAGGGTTTCGAATTCTGATAGAACCATTTGTAGCTTTGACTGCTTGACATCACTAGTTCCTTCAAATCTGGCTTCAAGAATTTCCCATACCCGTTTAGCCTCTTTTACTCCGATGACAAGAGTAAAAACATATTCATGCAGAGATCCTACAATCGAATTCAACGCTTTGTTGTTTAGATCTGAGGCATTCATTTCATCGTCTGTCCAAGTCTCCATGGGCTTATCTTCAGTGACTCCTTCTGCATTCTGAATAGATGGAAGACTCCACCCAGTTAGGACAATACGATAAACCCTGGTACCTGCGCTTGAAGATATATCTCCATGCGAGCCTTCCAGAAAGAGTAGTTGTGACCATCTAGTTTTGGTGGTTTCATACTTGCATCCATCCTGAATACAAACAACTAGCCAACGAACACAGAAAAAGACTTCCAAAAGACAAAGAGAAATGCAAAACTAAAAACAACCCGTCGGATCAAGTCACTATGTAGACTTAAAAGATCTGATACCACATGTAATTTTGCATTTTCTCTTTTTAGATAGATTAACAGGATTAATCAACTGTCAGAGATTACTGATTGATTCAGTTACGAAGTCAGTCAGTAATAATAAATCATGGAGAAGATGTAAGAAAAAAGATAACAGCACAAACCCAACGACACAGAATATTAACTAGTTCGATACAGTGTGTATCAACGTCTAGGGGACGATCACATAGGCGTCCAATCCACTAAATCATAATCCAATGTACAAAGGTAGATATACAATAATCTTACCCAAGTGCCCCACACAAGGTACATACCCAGTCTACACAGGTTTAGTGGATTGTTGAAGATGGAGAGCCATGCATACAGAAGTCCAATGAAATCCCTTCACTTGGAGAGCCCACTCTGATGCAGTCCACTTCAATGACGCTCTTTACAGTTGTTCCCACAACAGTGTGATCACAGTGTCCTTTCGTTTAAGCAGCAGTGATTCTTCTCAAGTTCATCATCTTAATCACCATGAACATATTGTATTGAGAAGATGCATGACAATCAAAGATCTAG